AAGGTGTGTGGCTGCCCAACCTATGCCGGCGCAGGTCCCTCCGCTGCTCTGTGCAGCTGCCCGCTCCGCCTTGGTTCGGCGCTTTGTAGGCAGGCTCGGGGAAGACCACGGAACCACCCTGCCCCTGCTCTGTTCCAAAACTCAGCTCCTTGTCTGTCTTGGCGGTGTGAGTTCTCTGAGGTTCCAGGGCAGAAAGATCATAACTGCCTCCGGCTGTAAACAAGTCTCAGTCCTGCCTAGGAAGTTGCAGAGCCCCCAGGTGCAGATTCAGGTCTTGACCCCACCCCTGCCCTAGCACTGTGCACAGGAGGAGATGGCGGCCATGGCTGCGCCCCGCCTCTCTTCTCGCGAGAAGTGCCAGTAATGGTGTCGCGGGTCTGAGGAGACAAAGGCTACAGCGCCCCTCCCCCCAGGGCACACCGGCAGTGTTGCTTTGCTTTTTTTCCCTGTAATTTATGGGGGACCAAGGTTGTTCTGCTCCATATCCCCTCCCAGCCAACGGTGCGCAGCCCCCTGTAGTCCCCCGGGGCTGCCTCAGTGCAGCCGCCCCAGTACTCTGCCCGGCTCGGGCAGCCTGTCCCGGCCCCAGCTGCCAGCTCGCATCTCGGGCTGGGTGTCGCAGGTACCCTTTGTGCCCATTTAACTTGGTTCTTTCGGCCAAGGGCTGCTCTGTACAGATCCGAGCCTTGGAGGCTCCCCCTCCATCCTGCTGCCCTCTCCATTGGAGAGGGGGCGGTTCAGGGAATGAGCGCCAGTCCTCCTTTGCCGCTCCCTTCCCGCAGGACTGGTCCCGCACTGTTTTGCTTTTTCTTCTTTTTTTTTTTTTCCCTTTTCTCCTACCAGATTTTTGGCATCTTTGACTTTCGAAGAGGGCAATGTTCTGTCGGAGTTCGGCAGGTACTCTGGTCGGCTGAGTGGGTCTGTAGATGTGAGTTTTGGTGTATTTGTGAGAGAGGGTGAGCTATGAGCGTCCTTCTACTCCGCCATCTTGCTTCTCTCTACATCTTGTTTTTTATCTTTTTTAAACTCATTTTTTCTTTTCCTCATCTTCCTTTTTTGAGTCTTATGTACAAATCTGTTTATTTAGAGCTCTCATGGTGATTATGATGGTTGAGGTTTTGCTAGTTTATCTGAGTAGTGTTCCTGTTTATCTCCCCTGTGCTGATCACAGCGAAGAATGGTGACTGAATTGTGGGTGTGGTTTGCCAGGAGGAGTCTGGGTGCAGCTCCTAAGAGACCTGGGCTTAGAGGGCACAGCGAGAGCCGTGCTTGTGCAACCTGGAGTCAGTGAGTGGCCCTTTCAGTGTGGGTGGGCTGCTTCCAGTGCAGGAAGGTTCCAGAACACTGCAATTCGAGTAGGTCTGGGGGTCCACTCAACTAAGCCTCATGACAGTTGTAACAGTGCTGTCAACCACAAGGCAAGGCGTAGCAGCATCCTATTTCAGAAGGAGCCGTGCTTTGGAGTCAGATGGATCTGGGTTTGAATCCTTGTCTTAAGACTAACTAGCTGTGTGACTTGAGAGCAACCTCTCTGTGCCTCAGTTTCCTCCTCTTCTGTAAGTTAGGGTGATAACAATAGTACCTACCTCATATGATTGCTGTGAGGATTAAATGAGTGAATCCATGTAGAAGAACACCTGACACATAATAAACATTGAGTTATGTGTCAGTTATTGTTGTTGTTGTTGTTATTAACAACAAGCATAGAATATAAGATTCCTAGGATTGTGCTTGGCCAGTAGTGTATCTCTGATATGCTTGCTCTCCAGACAAGGTGTGACTTTTGTTGTCAGTTGTAGGGCGAGGTGTAACTGACTGCTTCTGAGTGGGTGCCCCCTCCTGGGATGCTGTCTCATCACGTGGTGACTGGTGATACCTGAGCTGTTACGTTACTGTTACGTCCCAAAGTAAAAGGCTTCCTCAGAGCATAGTTTCCAGACAGTCTTGTGAGCTTTTCATCCAGCAATGTGTTTTCTATTAGAAACAGAACGTAACCACAGCCAGTAAGCCCGGAGTTTACAGCCCAGCCTTTACCACAGGCAGTCTGCATTTTTAAAGAGACCAAACACTTTTTCTCCCAGAGGTTTATTTAAAGAAACATTCAATGGAGAATTAAAGTTAATTTCTTATAGAAAGGAGAAGGGTCTTCCCTTTTATTCTGTAGCTGGCTCCTGCTGATAACCGTGTGAGACTTGACTTTGAGAGCTGATTCTGGCCGAGTAACCCTTTGCCTCCTTTCCCTGAAGATGCATAACTTGGGCACCACTAACCTTCTCTTAGGAGCCCGGTTTCTCTGGTCTTTATTTTCAGACATTCTCCTCTGGGTTCTCTGCTTTGTTTCTTTGACCTCTGCTAAGGACAGAGAAATAAATATGTTGCAATCTAAGCACAGAAAAAGAAAGCAGCTCCAACCTGCGTTCTCTTTTAGCTGGATGAGGAAGCAGAGTTGTGGCCCGTGCGTGACCCACAGAGCCTCATGTCTGCCTGTTCTTTTTCCTAGCCCTGAGGTCTATTTTCTTTTTACTTTTAACAGCTTTATTGAGTTTTAATCCCTGGGTTTTTAGCCGGAGTCTGAACTTGATTCTTATTTAAACTACTACAGTGTGGTAAGAAAGAGTCTGGGAGTTGAAGCCAGAGCGGAAGAGAAAAAGAAATCACATTTATTGAACCTTGCCCTTCATCATTCCATTCATCAGATCTTTCTGAAGCTCCTACTGTGAGCCAGGCATTGTGAAAGGTGCTATAGGGGAGCACTTCAGGGACATGGGGGCTGGACCCAGGCTATTTGGGTTTGAATTTCAGCTCTACCAGTGAAATGGGACCCACCTTTAAGTGGGACCTTAATGACTTATTTAACTTCTCCTGTGCCTCGGTATCCCCATGTTAGGATGCTAATAGTGCCCCCCTTAGATATATTATGAGGACTAAATGAGTTAATAATATAGAATGAGATGATGATGGTGGTGGTGGTGATGATGATGACGGTGACGATGACAGGGAGGTGTGGGATCAGGACTCAGCTGGACAGACACCTCGTTGCTCTCAGTTGTGTGTGCATGTGGGGTAGAAGTGCTTAGGGATGGAATGTGAGAGATATATATGATTAAGTACAGTAAAACTTGGTGAGTATTATTGTAGGGCAGGGGAGGGGACCGTGGGAACACGTAGCAGGGAGGCTTCTTTGGATAGCAGGGTATACCTTCTGAACTTGAAGTCTGGCTCTTTGCTTTATGACTTTGGGCTACCCTCAATTTACTCACCTGTAAAACAGCTAACATATTAATAAATACCAGCCTCATAGACTTGTAAAAACAAGTGGAAGTAGGCACAAAGTGCCAAGTAGAGAGCCTGGCATATAGTGAGTTCAATGACTGCTTATGGCCCCAGATTCTATTATTAATTAATTAATTAATTAAAAAAATCTCAATTTATAATGTTGTGTTAATTTCTGGTGTAGAGCATCGGGATTCCGTTTTACACATATATATATATTCCTTTTCATTTTCTTTTCCATTATAGGCTGTCAGTCCTCTTGCCAAGAATCACTGGAATCACATAGACATCACCTTTGCTCACGGGGAGTCTGCTCCCCTGGCTCCTTGACAGGTCTCAGGGCAGCAGGCTCTCCGTCCACCCTGCAGCCCTGCGGCACTTCCCGCTTCTGCTCCCTGGCAGGAGTGACCCCAAGGCTGCTCTGGCTTCCGAGGTCCCTTTCCCCTCTTGGGCTTGCTGATCGTCTTTTCCCTCTTCTTCCAGGCTCCGTCCGTCTTGTTCTGCCTTCGCCTTATGAAATGAGCTCTGCTGCTGGTTTGAATTGTATTTAACTTTGTTATTGTTCTTTAACTTTTCTCATGTGGGTCTCAAGGGCAGAGACCGCCTCATCTCTGTATTTCTTACAGTGATTAGCACAGCGCTACAGTAAGTACTTAATTGTTTTCACCAGGATAGGGCTTTATGGGTCCCAAGATCTTTTGTGTAGTTTTTTTCTTTTTTAGAATTCTTCACAATCGTCCTCTGAAATCAACAGAGCAGAATAGTATTCTTTTTAGCACTGTTGAGAAACTACGGCCTACTCTAAAGCCACAGGCCCATTAATTAATTATTTAATTCGATGGAGTAGATATTTAGTAAGTGTAACTCTGTCCCGTGGGCTAGGAAAATAGAGTGGGAAGACATCATCCCCTCCCTCAAGGATGAGGCAGACATTTGAACAAATACTTGTATGAAGTTTTAGGACAGAGGAATTTATTTGGGGGAGATCAGCGAAAAATTCAGAGAAAGAGATGCTTGCATTGGTCCTTAAAGGACTATGTTCCCGACATAGGGTGGGCAGGAGGGCATCCCAGGCAGAGGAAACGCAGTATACACAGCCCATGGGAATGAAAAGACTGGCACTTTGGGAGGTTTCACAGCATCAGCAGGGCTTACAGGAGGTGCAGAGCAGGGGGGTGGTAGAAGGGAAATTGGCAGTGACTCCCAGTGGTAAGACCCCACCCAGGGCTTGCAGGAGACTGGAAGGTACCTCCCTAGTTCCTTCCCCTTGGTTCAGTCTCCCAATCTCTGACCCTTCTTCCCAGAGGCACATACAGTGAGTCCAAAAAACCACCTTTCAGTTTTGGATGGGCTCCCCATCACTCTGCTCCCTTGAGCCCCTAGCTTGTCGGCAAGTCAATTTATAATCTTCTTTTGATGCTAAAAGAAAACATCTTATAACATGAGCGACCTGCGACCTGAATGCTTGGAAGAATAAAGATTACCAGGTGAAAGGGCATCTGTGTCCTTTACTCTCTGTGGCGTGAGTTAACGGGGAAGGAATAAAGTCCGTCTGTGACCAAACACCTGTGTTCCTCTCTCGCTCGCAGGGTCACCGGAGGGGAGCGTTAAATTGCTTCTCAAATGAGTCAGACCCGTTGTTCCCAAGGAGACCGGCTGTCGCAGCTTGAGCTCTTCGGGCAGGTCTGACCAGGCCCCTCTCACTCGTGCCTGTGTTTGCCTTGCAGCTGTGTAAATGAGTATGGAAGATTATGATTTCCTGTTTAAAATTGTTTTAATCGGCAATGCTGGTGTGGGGAAGACGTGCCTAGTCCGCCGATTCACTCAGGTAAGTCCGGGGTGGGGTTCTCCTTCTGGCCTGCGAGGTCCGGGGATCCTGATTGGATGGGTGAGTGGTACCCGCACCAGCCTCCTGGCTGTCGGGCCTGAACGCACACTTTGCAAGCGCACCAGCTCTATAGCTTAGAGTTTTGCGGGTTTGGGGTGGGGGGAGACACTTAAAATTTTTCATTTTATTTGAAATCTCAGCAACGGTGAACATGACCCCTCCTTTCTCTGTGAAATACCCTTTGTTCTTTTTTTTTCTTTTTTTTTAAAACTGAAAGTGTAGTTGATGTACAATATAACATGTTACAGGTGTACAACATAATGATTCACAAATTTTAAAGGTTATATTCCATTTAGAGTTATTATAAACTATTGGCTCTGTTCCCTGTGTTGTGTAATATATCCTCATAGATTATTTATTTTATATGTAATAGTTTGTATTGACTAGAGTTTTTAAACCGTGTCGAGGGCACACAGCTGGGTGGCTCACCACCAGCCCTCCCACGCCTCCTGTGGCTTCCTTGTGTGAAAGGGGCGAGTAGTTTTGCTTTCAGTGTGCAGCATCAAAAATAGTTTATAAGATTAAAAAAAAGATTGTTCGTTAATAATAATCCAAAGGTGGAAACAAATGAATCTGAACATCAAGTTCAACCTAAATATTAACTTTATAAAAACTCAAATACAAATTAAACTATTGAAGCTCCCTGCTGATGCCCTGTCAATTTCTTCCAAAAAACTGACTTAATCGTTTTGGTTTAAAACCACATATGCTGATTTTTCTAATCTGTTTAACGGTAATGAAATGAGAACAGTGAAGGACTATTTGAACTAAATTAAATGTTCCTTCTGGGTTGAGTTCTTATCATATGTTCTGAGTACAAGTTCCCTCTGGGGCTGCCCTTTTGAGAATTCCTGCCAGAGATTATATACCTGATTTTATACAGAAATGGATGGGAAATCATTCTGAGGTTGACCTTTCGTGTTTTCCCAGAAAATAATGAATGGCATCCTTTTCAGGATTAGCGTGCTTGCCTCTTGTATTTTCATAAAGTAATAGTTGGGAAGATTGATAATAGCTCTCCTGTCTAAGGCACAGGGCAGCCTGGTGTCGGGGGAAGAACACTGGCTTGAGAGTGGAGACATGGGGAAATTATGTCCCCCGGCCAGGCCTCCCCACCGCCCGCTAGGGGCCTGATGATCTCCAAGGCCCCTTCCAGCTCTGACAGTCTGTGGTTCTGTGGAAAACTGCAGAGGCGGATTGGATAACACAAACAGCTGGAGGACAAAGAGTCACCTTTGGAAATGTCAAGGTTTTTCCCATGATAATGAACACAGACTAGAACACGTGCTTATTTACTAAGCCGTGGCCTGGTGAAATCAGAAGTAACAAGCTAACAGGCATCTGGGCTCAGGCAGCCGCCACGGCATTGTGCTGGAAACTCCAACTGGTTTTCCTTCCACCTAATGTCAGTAATCTTTTCTGCTTTTGGCAGGAGGACAAGACTGCAGAGATGCAGAGAAATTTTCAGTCCTTTTATCAACAGTTCCCTTGACTTTGTCTTATTACTGAAAGTTCCCTTAGAGATTTGTCAGCCCACTCCTCTCATTTCACAGGTGGAAAACTCAGGTCTAAAGGGATGAAATGACTTATTTGCATCTCATATCATGTGAGTGGCAAGGCTAGAATTAGAACTCAGGTCTTCTGGTTCGTAGCCTGACCATTTTTTCTTTTTTTTTTAAATGGAGGTACTAGGGATTGAACCCAGGACCTCGTGTGTGCTAAGCATGTGCCCTAACACTGAGCTATACCCCTACCCCTAGCCTGATCATTTTTATCTTCCACATGTCCTAACCTCTGAGACCATAGGAATCTGGCTTTTCTTTTTAAAAGCATAATTCTTGTTATTAGGGGTAAAAATACTTCCATTTTTTAAACAGTAATTTTTTACCAGTAAGCACAGTGCCCCTTATTTTTCTTTTCTGTCTACTTTTTACCCTTCCCAGTCCCTGAACTCCCTCAAAAGTTCATATTTCATAGACAGGGCTATGTTTGGTTTTGTTACTTAGTAGGCAGTTAAAATGAATTGGATTCAACTGTGTTTGAGGCATGAGGAATTGGGGAACAAAATGATGGGGGAGACATTGGGAAGGACTTGTTTTCTTTTTTGGCAATTGTTATACTGTAAAACAGCTGGAGCTATATACTTGAAGCTTGGCAGCCTTGTGTTTGAGCCAAACCAAAATAGAAGAAAATTGATTCAATATTTGTAAGTAAAGTTATGAATGTTTATATTTACATCTTTCACAGACATGCAGTGGAACATTTTCTGTTGGTTTGAAGCTCATTATTTTAAGTCCAAACTTTAATGAAAGAATGGACTTAATTAAAAGTGCCCCAATCTTAGCTCCCAGAGCAAATAAAGTCCATTTTACTTTAATCTCTGGAAGTTCTGGAATATGGATGTGAAGAGGGAAGAGAATCTAGGTGACAAGGTCTTTCTCTAGAATTCCTCCTACCTCCAACTCCCTCCCTAAGCTTACAGGAACTATTATGTAACAGAAAATTACATTATACATGTGATTTTACTAGAATCATATCTTTCTAGTTCTGATTCCAGTTTGATGTAAAGCTTTGTCTTGAAATAATTACATCCAGCCAGAGAGAGGGACTGGTGTGCCTGAGGTCACTCAGAGTGGCTAGGGCTGCTGACTCCTGGCTTGGTGCTATTTCTGATATACTGTCCCCCTGAATGACTTCATTTTCTTCAGCTGTCTTCCCAGGGTCACTGGCCCTGCTCTCATGTAGATATATCTGTGTGGCACATTGCACTGGGGACATAGTTACCACTCTCAGAGCCGAAGGAGATTAGGAGATTCAAAACTTCACTGTCTCATTCACGTTTCTTGTATTGAGTTCTTGTTTGTTTTTTTCATATTTGTAGTTCACCCCAAGGGATGTCCCTGCCGTAGACAGTCAGTTTTAACGTCCCTGATGCTACCTTTTAGAGCACCTCCCCAACCATCCCGATCTCATCCCTGCGGCTCCATGTTCCTCAGTCCTATCCTTGTGTCTGATTTCTCTGTTTAATTCTTTGAAATCACGTCCCCTGTCCTTTCCCAGTTCTCTCCCTATACCCTCTCTGCTTGCCTCCCCTTTCTTTGTCCTCTTTTCCCTTTCCATCTGCTCTCAGCACTTTTCTTTCCCCCATTCACCCTCCTTCCTCCTCTCCTCAAAACATACACACAAAGTTAAATTAAACAGGGCACCCATGACACTAACCAGAGTTCTTTTTCCTACCAGTTAACTCAACCAAAGGAAGGGGCTGGTGATCTGCAGTGATGGGGAAGGTGGGGGAGAGTTTCATTTCATCAAAAGATTTTGCTCATTGTCATTTTCCGTTATTTCTGCTTTAGGGTCTTTTCCCCCCAGGACAAGGAGCCACAATTGGAGTTGATTTTATGATTAAGACAGTGGAGATAAATGGTGAAAAAGTGAAGGTAAGATGCTAAGTGTTTTATAAGGCTTTCATTGTGCTGTGTGAGAGGAAGGAGTGTTTTCCTGACATTTATTAAATCACCTAATGGAAACCCACATTGAAAATAACATAATCAGCCATGGCAGCTTATTTCCAAACAGAGTTCTTCTCTTCCTTTTGTGGGGGCAGGATGGAGTTGTGGGCGATGTGTTTATATGTGGGAAGATAGAGAGAAAAGGCTAAAGCAAGTTTGTTCTTCTGTCTCCGTCGTGTCAGAGGTGATGTAAAAACAAGAAATTTCTTTTGGGGATCTCCTGAATTGGACCAAAGAGCGGAGCTGTTTCTTCTGAACAGCAGCCTCATGAAAGAGCCTCCTGATTCCTACATTCATCGTGGGTCATTCTGTCCTATGAATCATTTATTAGAATTATTCTGTCTCCCACCCGACCTCTGTCCATAGTAGGGGAGAAATACTAAATAAGGGGTCCGGGAGGGATCCTTGATCTCCCCTCTCCCTTTTGTGGCCTCTGGATGGTTTGGTGCTTGTAAGAATATGGTGTGTTCAGTAACAGGAGAAGGGAGGTACTGTTTTTCAAGTGCCTAGTATGTGTCAGTCCCCCGCTAGGTTAAATACATTTAACCTAATCTTTATTGTAAACCCTGTGAGATAAGTGGTGAATTATCTTCAGGTCATAGTTTTCAGAGAGGTTGAGTGACTTATTTATCCATGGCTACACAGTTAGCAAGAGAGTTAGGCAGGATCTGAAGCAGTTTTGTGAGCCAGTGTGCCCCACTGCCTCTCTGGGGTCTCCCCTGCTATGAGAGAGAGAATGAAGGCACAATAAACCCATCACCGTGGAGCATGGAAAGAAGGAGGCGATGGAAAGAAATGTGCCATGAGACTAAATTACTTGGAAGGAGGGTAGAGATACTGATTTTTGGCACTGTGCTCTGCCTGCCCCTCAGAGTTAGTGAAATTCCACCATCAGATCAGAACTGAATCCCATGGAAAGAAGTGATGACCCTGGCCTCAGCAGCACAATGAGACCTGTAGCATCAGAGCTCCAGCCAGATCTCAACCTCAGCATCCTAACCTGAGCATCCCAAGTCTGAGTCCGTGTCACTTGCATCCTTCTTCTGCATGAACCTGCACTCCTTCCTCATGAATCTGCACTTCAGATGCCTCTGGAAGACCAGAGAAGCTCCAGGGTGCTCTTACAGAATTTCACAGACACACAGAGATGTGTTTAGGGATGAGGCTCCTGTGTGGGGGACAGAAGCTTTCCCAGTGTCTCTTCCAGCCCTGACTCCTCATAGAGGTTCCTTACTGCAAAGACGTCTACACTGAATTCAACAGTGATGGAGAGCTGAGGGCTCTGGAAAACGAAAGCAGGGTGGGAAATCCACATAAATGCCAACTAGAGAGCTCAGAAAAATAGTGTGGGGAGAGAAGGGAGACAGGGGTGTGCACTTAAGAGGCGGCGGCAGAAAGTGCCACTTGTGGTCCTCTTGTTCCAGGAGAGAGAGGTGGTTGCCATCCCAAGGAGCTGGGTGAAGATAACTGCTGTTTCAGGCATTTTGTTTCCAGGTGTTTGGGTTTCTCATTTATATGTACATATGTGTATGAGTTCATTCCTTTGACCAGAGATCCAGGCCCGTGCACCAGGCCCTGGGAATAAATAGCCGTGAATCAGAAGTGGTCCCCATCAGTAAAGAACAGGTTTATTTTTCTTTCCTGAATCCCCAGGTTTAGGTATTATATTAATTCCACTTTCTGTGAATCATAACTTCATTTTAAAGTACGTATTACACTTAGCTAAAATCCATCCTTTTTTAACATCTCACTCCACCACAAGACCGCAGGCTCCGCAGGAACAAGGTTTAGCTCTTCCTCATCTTTGTATCACAGCACAGTTCCTGTTCCTTTCATCGCTTTATGCCTCTGGACCTTCATCTCTGGGAAGTGAGAGTTGGCTGATCTCCCAAATCCAGTCCTAATTAATTTGCCTGTGATTCTTTCTAGCTGTGTATGTAGAATCCAGATACAAAATGACTGTACTCAACCGCGTTAATCCGAAGGTCTCATTAACACTTGGACGCGTGAGGAGAGCAACCCAGGCTTCACTAAGGAGACGACTGTTGTCTGACTGTTGCCGGTGTTCTTTAACCTTTACTGAATCCCTCTTCTTGGTGATAGTTGAGTCTTTTTGCTAGTGGTTTGCAGGTTTCTCAGAGCCCCATAGAGTCAGTGGAGAGAGAATCCACTGGTGGTTTTTGCAAGATCGCCTGCCCGGCGAGTGGCAGGGCAGGACCAGAACCTCGGTTTCTCTCCTGGCTTATCCTCCCTCAGCCTCCCCTACAAGTACCATTCCTTCTAGAGTGGTTCCCAGGATCAAAGGCAGCTAATCAAAGGTATTAGAAAGATTCTTGTGGCTTTTAAGGCTTGGTGCCAAATCAGTCAAGGCAAAGCTGAGGAAGAGGCTCTTCTCTTAAAGTGGTCTGCATTATGAAGGTGACCTTGGGTAGAAAATATAATTAAAACATATAGAATTTTCTCCTCTCCATTGATTTTTTAAAGCCTATCGTAAGTTAATGAGTCATAAGCAAAGCTCTAAGCTCAGTCTGCAATGTTTTAATTTTAGGAGATGAATTATAATAGAAATAGAAGATTTGCTGGATTTTTCTCTCATCAGGTGTGTATTGCATAGATCAGAAAGTCTGGAAAGTGTGCACATGTATCTGCTCTTTCAACCATCTGTCTATCCTTTCATTCATCCAACCATCCTGTCTTAGAGTAGATGCTTTGTGCCAGGCACTGTGTTAGGGGAAGCATCCTTGGTCCCTAGTAACTTACTGTCATCTTGCTCAAACATTTTATCTGTGAAATCTTCTTTAATATCCTACTGATTTTTTAAGCAGAATGCATCAGTCCTTCCTTTGTGATTCCACCATCCTTTGTTCATTTAGTTATCCATCATTCAAATGTGTTCACCATGTATCACATACTGTTTTAGGAAGGCGCTGGGAATATATGGTTGAATAAAAGACAGCCTTTGCCTCCTTAAGAACTCAGTCTAACAAGGGGACATGCTAGTAAACCAATGATCACAGTATATTATTGTAATGGGGAGGCAGTAGAGGTGTAAATGACGGTGCAAAGAAGAGACTGGACGACAGCACAGCCCCATGCTAGAGTGAGAGTGGTTAGAAAGCCCAGGGCTGTGGTATTGAGAGCATATTGATGGACGTTAAGACTAACACCAGGAGACACTCTCCTGCTGGTGCCTCTTTCATAAAACATCTCATATCTTACTCTGGTTGGTCAACTACATGTTGTTTGTCCTTCTTGTACTGCAAGCTCTTTGAGATCAGAGATCATATTTTATTTCACTTTGTTATCCTCCCTGTGCTTAGCACAGTGTTCTGCATCTATTAATCATCTGTAAATGCTGAAAAAGAGCAAATGAATTGCAGAGGGAATAGTGAAACCAAGTTCAATGATAAAGGCAGTGGAATATGGATTCCCTCAAATTAACCATAAGGCTAGAAACAGGCAGCCCCCTTTGAGGAAGCAGCATACGTCTTGGCAAAAGCATAGAATCACTATTCTAGGAAATATTTCAGTGGTTTTAATTCTCAGAGCTGTTCTCAAGATGTGCCAGTCATGAGAACATACTGATTTCTAATGATGGACAAAATTAAATCCAATCACAAGTGTTTTTCAAGGCTCAGTGTGGCACTAAATTAATAGTCTTTTGTTCTAAGACACATCCTGGTAGAGGGGAACCATGTCCCTAGGTTTGGGGCAGAGAAGAGAAATATCTTTTGTCCTGGCAAAAGCTGTAACATCTGTATGGGTGCCTTCAGCCTACACAGGCTTTCATGTACATCCTCAAAGAGCAGCTGCAACTTCAAATCAAAGAAGAGCCTGTGTGCCGCTGATTGGTGGCAGGGACCACCAGTCACTCATCAGTCTCCTCAGCTAAACTGGTATGAGCAGAGGGTGACACCAACTGCCTCATCCTCTTTGGATGCAGATGTACATTTAAATCGATCTCCCGTGGCAAAGGCAGCCTGGTGTGTGGACCGAGTCTCCCACTAGGAATCAGAAGCCCCGGAGTCTGAGTCCCAGCCTTGCAAGTAACTAGCTGCATGTAACCTGTTAATGAAAGGGAGGCATAAACTTGCCTGCCTCACTGGGTTGTTGTAAAGTTTAAATGAGACCATGAGTAAATATTTGAACATTTACTGCATGCCAGACACTATTTGGTGTAAGGGATGCTGCAAGTAAAATGGACTCTGACTGCCCCTTCATGAAGCTTTCAGTCTAATGAGGAAGACGGTTATTAAACAAGTTGCTACAAATAAGCAAGTGATTCGAATGTTGGCAGGTGCTGTGAGGGAGGAGGCTGGGTTATAGCGTGGGTTGCAGGAGGGAACGTGTGGGAGTCGGGGGCGGGGATGGGGAACCTGGCCTGATCCGAAAGTTCCAGGAGGTCTTCCCTGGGGAAATGACATTCTGTTAATGGGAGTGAATGCGTCTTGTGACAAGTGAAATTTCTGCGATTAGAAGGGGAGATTACTGCTTTTGTTATTTCTCAAGGCCTGCGATTTGTTCTGCACTCAGCAGTTTCTCTGGGGAATGGTTCTCTTTCAGAAGTCTGCCCTGTGCTGTGAAATTCAGGTTGAAGTGAATTTGCCTTCTTTGTTATTAGAACCATCAGTCATTAGGTCTTAAAACTGGTAAATGACTTCAGAAAATGTGAACTTTCAGCAGGTTTGCATATTATTAAAACCTCTTTTTAATTTGACACAACATTGTAAAATGATTATAAATCAATAAAAAATGTTAAAAAAAAACCCAAAAAAACCTTTTTAAAAAGAAGCCGTGGAAGCCCAGAGAGTTTAAGTGACTTGCCCAAGGTCAGAGAATTTAAAAGTGGTGGAGAGAAATTCTTGTCTGTCATGGCATTGTTCCTGTTTTCAGTAACAAAGATAATGCCTTAATATAGTCACTTGCATTTTGAACTGGAAAAGGCGGTGAAGTTGGGTTTTCTCTCTCCAGTTGCTACCTGATATGCCAGCAATCACAGAGTGACAGCTTGCCCTGTGTCCTGACCTTTGTAATAAGGCATTGAGATTAAGGACATAGACTCTGGGACCGCAATGCCTGGTTGAATCAGCTCTTGGACATATTGGCCGTGAGACATTGAGCAAGTTCATTAATCTCTCTGTGCCTCAGTTTCTTTATGTGAGAAATGGATATAGTAATAGTACCTGCCTCATAGAGTTATTGTGAGGATTAAGTGAGTTATTACATTTAAAGTGCTTAGAAAAGAGCTTGGCACATAAATGCTCAATAGTTTGGTGATTTTTTGTTTTTTAAAGAATAGAGGGGATTTACTGCTTACAACCAAAATGAGAAAGTTTGAAATATGTTACAGGAATATAAAGCTTTAATAAGACATAGGAATATGCTTTCTGGTTTAGAAAATAAACAAAATGGAAAATGAAAATATGAGCTATGGAGAATCTATAGATAAAAAATATCAATTCCTATGGGTAATATAGGTTTATACTAAAAATTAACAGATCATAAATACCCTAATTTCACCTTTTAAATGATGTTACACTAGATGCCTTTAAAAAGGAAGAATAAAGGGGAAACTCAAAATATTTTAATGAAGAAAAAAACCCAAAAAACAAAGTGAGTCCCTCTCTCTCACCAGACACACTGAACAGATTTTTTTAAAAAATTATAGGTGCCTTTTTCTTAGGGCAGAAGATAACTATGAAATTATTTGGGTGAAGGTGATTCTGTTTCTAAACTAAGCAAACCAGTGCTTTCTTTCTTTTCTGCTTCTCCACCCTGATCCTTTTCTATGCCTTTACAGCTTCAGATCTGGGACACGGCAGGTCAAGAGAGATTTCGGTCCATCACCCAGAGTTATTACCGGAGCGCCAATGCCTTGATCCTCACCTATGACATAACCTGTGAGGAATCCTTCCGTTGCCTTCCTGAGTGGCTGCGGGAGATAGAACAATATGCTAGCAACAAGGTCATCACTGTGCTAGTGGGTAAGTAACAACTAATGAGGGAAATTTTTTTATTATTGAATTATAGTCAGTTTGCAATGTTGTGTCAATTTCCAGTGTAGAGCACAATTTTTCAGTTCCACATGAACATACATATATTCATTGTCGCATTTTTTCGCCATGAGCTACCACAAGATCTTGTATTTATTTCCCTGTGCTATACAGTATAATCTTGTTGATCTATTCTATATATATCTGTCAGTGTCTACAAATTTCAAAGTCCTGGTCTGTCCCTTAGCCACCTCCCTCCCCCCGGCAACCACAAGTTTGTATTCTATGTCTATGAATCTGTTTCTGTCTTGTATTTATGTTTGACTAATGAGGGAAATTGACATGTGAGCATCAGAGAATTTATAATCACATAAGGCTTGTGCCATAGTACCTTCCAAGAGTGTAGTCTACAGCTATATAAATCAGTCGACATTCAGTTCTTCTGAACGCAATTGAAGAGAAAATTAAATAGATCCTATCCCATGGTGATGGTTTAGAAAAGTAAAGTAGAAAATATTGCTGATTGGTTTTCCTACCAGTGCAAGCTCTAGGGAAGAAGGTGGGCTGCCATGAAAGCTATGTGGGCTGCTAAACATTTAAAAAATCTAGGCCACAGAAACTGCTGGTCTACAAGTAAAACATATCTAAGTTGATAAAGAATTTGTTATTGAAGCAGTTGTTTTTTGCCTTAAAAATGTACTTTGATTAATTTTTTCCCTTCTTACATTCATACTGATCTGAGAAATTCCAATTTTCAGAAAGAATCCACTAAGGATTTGTTTCATCTTGTAGGAGGGTAGGACCTCTATTTAGTATCGGGAAAAGCAGAGAACAACCCATGATTTTCTGTGGTGAGAAATATACCCATTAAAAATGGAATTGCAGGGGGAAGGGTATAGCTCAAGTGGTAGAGCTCATGCTTAGCATGCCTGAGGTCCTGGGTTCAATCCCCAGTGCCTCCTCTAAAAATAGATACATACATAAACATAACTACCCACCCCTGCCCCCCAAAAATGGAATTGCAGTGAAATGGACTAGATTATTAAAAATCCCCAGTGATCATGGAAAAATATGAATACTGTATGATTTTTAAAATATTTTCTTCCTAAGAAGAAATATTGCTATATATTCTAGGAAGACCTGAATTTTGGAAAGCCGGGTAGAGAACCTCAGAAACATTCAGTTACAAATCATGGTTAACAGTAAGCTAAGTAAACACTTTACAGAAAGCATTACAGCTAGTATCTGTGTACCAGAAATCATATTAGGAACATTATGTGTCATGCTCCCAAATATATAGATGAGGAAACCAAGGTTCAGACAAGTGACGTTCTTTCCCAAGCTCACACAGCATATAAGAGTAACTCCAAACCCTGTGTTTGTCCAGCTGTATAATATGCTACCTTGTAACAAACTGCTGGACTTTTCCTTCAGGCCACAGGATTAAGTATCTGCCTCTCTATGAGCTAGTGCTCCAGGCTCAGTCCTGAAAACCCTCCTGGAGCACCTTTGCTGTGAAGAGCTGAAAGCCGTCTGTTTTGGACTTGAGCTTTTTCTCTGTTCCACAGAAAGCCCTTGAGAACTTGAGTCAAAGCAGTACTACTTGGGATTCTAAGGAAGTTAAGTGAGGTTATGAGGGGACATAATTAGTCAGTTCAGTATGAAAGAGACACTGGCTTTTTAAAAAAAAATTTATTATGGAAAGTTTTAAGCAGAAGCAAAATAGAGAAAACAGTATAATGAACTCCCATATACACATCTCACAGCTTTGACAGTTACCAGCTCAGAGCGAATCTTATTTCATCTGTTCCCCATCTATTCTGTCTGCCCTCCCCTGCAGGTTATTTTGAAGCAAATCCCAGAGTTGTACTAATTCAGTTTATATTATTTTAGTGTGTATCTCTAAAAGATAAAAATTAAAAAAAAGAGAACCTAAGCACAATGCCATTTGCATACCTAAAAATATTAACAATTCCTTAATAGCATAAAAAATTTAGACAGTATTCAAATTTCCTTGATGGGCTCATACATTAAAAAATTTTTATTCAAATCAAGATCCAAATAAGGTCCGTATGTTGTCATTAATTTTTATGTCTTTCAATTTTCCTTTTAGTTGTAGGTTATCCCTCCATTTTTGCTCCCTGTGAATTTATTTGTTAAAGCATTTGCTTGTCCTGTGGTGTTTTCAAGTCTGAATTTTGTTATTTTACTTCTGTGTTGTCATTTGATATGTTCCTCCATCACCCGTATTTCTTGCAGATTTGTAGGTAAATCTAGAGCCTGGTCAGATTCAGGTTTTTTGTTTTTCATTTTAGCAAATGCACTTCATAGTTGGTATTCTGAGGTACAGTTCTCATAGGACAATCAAGAAAAATGCTTGATTCTTTCTTTTCCATTTATCACTTTTTAAAGTAGTGAGTTGGTTGCCTAGTCTTCCAAAAATATTGACATTTGTTTATATTTTGAATATCATCATAGATTTAAATATGTTTGATGTATTCCAGTCCCTTGCAATGATTATTACTGATGCTTCAACTGTTGCAACTTTGAAAGTGAAGTTTCAGATACATGTACCCAAATGTTCTCATAGTAGCACCATGTATACAATAGCCAAGACTTGGAAGCAACCTAAATGTCCATCAGCAGATGGCTGAATAAAGAAGTGGTGTATTTATACAATGGAATACTACTCAGCCATAAAAAGAATAAAATAATGCCATTTGCAGTAACATGAATGGACCTAGAGATCATCATTCTAAGTGAAGACAGAAAGAGGGAAAAAAAAACTATATGATATCACTCATATGTGGAAT